ATTTAATAGGTGGGGTATACCCCACCATCATTTTTAATAGTGTTCTGAACCTCATGCGATTCTGTTTGATTCTATTCAATTCCAATTTTCGGAACCATAACCTTAATAGATGACAACTAATTACACAGAAAAAAACATTTTTACAAAAATAAAATATTACCTCTTTTAGAAACCAGTGCAAGAACTCTTGATTAATAATAAACAAATTTCTCAAAACCAGTAAATGCAAAATAACTCTAAAGAGTGGTTAAAATCATTAGTTAATAAAATAATGGATCTTACAAAAGTTAGTGAATGCATTTGCCAATTTAAATGTTCATTGTGCAGATTTGAAGTAGAAAGAGAAGACACATATTTAGGGCTGAAGTGCTATTTGCCAAAGCTAACAAATGGACAGACGAGAAAAAAATGAGAATAGTAAGTGACTATTTTCAAGATACCACTGCAGAAATATCATCAGTTACGTCTTACCTTCTGAATAATCATAATTACGAAAGAAGCTTCGTACCAGCCTTCCTGCATTATTTTGTATCGTGTTCTCCGAACAATAATATCAATGGCAAGTGAACTTTCTAAAAATGAAAAAGTGTTAATGTATGTTTATAAGTTTCGGAAGGAAAAGATGGATCGGTGCCTACTATTAGAGATGCAATGATATTAGGGGGAGTGGCAGGGGGGAACGAAGTGACTGAAGATATTATACGACTTATGCTGAAAGAGAATCAACTCCGTATAGTTATAGTATAAATAGGTTAGGGATACCAATCGAAGAAGTAAAAAAAAGTGACCCCATCTGTAGGAATGCCTAGTTAGAAGAAAGGTCCTGTTATGATAAGAAAGTCATCTGCTTATGACAATATTGATGACATTTATCAAATCGTATAATCGTTATGATCAAATAGAAGCATCAGAATAAAAAGCGGATATCATTTAAAGAGAAACAAATTTTTGTTAATGCCATGGAAAGAAAATCATCGCAGGTGTCAAGTGAAGGCCCTGATCTCAAATAATGAAACTAAGAAGGTACTTACTAATGAAATTGATCTTATAATGCAGATGACAAAAACACTTTGTGGAATAGAGGTCTGTATGAGAAAGGAAAGATAAGTAAAGATAAGAAAGAATGACTTATATCCTTTGAGGGAGATGAAGAAGTGATAGGGGAGACACGTAGTAGTTCTAATTCCAATAATAAAAATACGACCGGAGATATCAAGCTTCAACCTTTCCTTTTACAACTTCCAACCAGTCTTATTTAGGCAGTATCGACGATTCTCCCCATTAAGCCACCTATACGGCGAGGTGTAATTCAATGGTTCTTCATGTATCTTTTTTGACAAGGTAGCCTTCTTTCCCACCTGTTTTTTCCAATTTTCTCCTTCCGATGTCAACAACTCATGTAGTACTTTCCTTCTCAGTTTCATAATCATTTTGGGATTTTCTTCGATTACCATCATCAATGTTTCAAATAATTATTTTAAGTTAATTATTACGTGAATTTATTAATTACTAACACTTCATAAATTTTACTTTAACTAAAAATTATTTTATTCATATCTATTAGTTTCTATATTTATTTATAATTACATAATAGAAATTTATTGGACTTAGTAAAACGAAGACGAATAAATATTCACCAAACACAGATAATTATATAAACAAATAAATCTTCTTTATTCTACCGAATAGTATGGGATTTGGTGACTCCTTTCACAAGATAACAATTTATCCTTAGATTTCGCACATCTTATCACTTTCTTCAGAAAAAGGATACTTTTTTGGATCGAGATATTTAATCATAATTCTACTCGGGATGATAGTCGAAGAACCGGGTGATAAGTTGTTCAGGCCACGATAGCATTCCTTGGATTGTTTAGCATTAAAAAAAAAATAATTAATATATCATTAAATGTTTCTAAATCAATAAATTCAATAACAAATATAAATTAAATTCATGTATCTTAATATCGTTCCTCCAAAAAAAAAAAAAAACACCCTCAGAAAAAAAAGGAAAAAAAAAATAAAACTAGAAAAAGTCATAAAATATTCGACTCTTTCCGCTAGCTATAGAACTGATTCCCCTAAAGAGCTGTTTTTCGACTAGAGGTAATGGATTTTTGGATCGAGATATTTAAGTAGTTTTGTTTCTTTCAGTAGTAGTATTCTTTTAACCGTCTAGATATAAAGTTTCATGGCACTTTGTACAAGCTTAGATCAAGTAAATACTCGCCAACAAATTCAACTTCTCTAGTCCCGATGAACTCAAGAAGACAGTAATATACATTACTCATCCTATAATATTGTACACGCATGGCTCATAAAAAACCGAGTCTCTCATATGTACATACGATACATGCCAATCCCTCCTCTCGAGATTAGTGGACATCACTAGGCTGACAAATGAAATGAAAACGATAGGATAGGGAACGACGAGCGGAATAAAATAAAAAAAAGTCAAATAAAAATAAAATAGAATAATATTTCGACTTTTTCGCAATGCATAGACAGAGTATCAAGATTGTATGCCGACTAAAAGTAAAACGTGTTCTTGATTGCAAAAGTCCCATGATACCTTTACAACTAGTTCAGGCCAAACCAATAGTCATGACGAATCCAGAATACAACGTTATAATGCCACTTGCCTATGTGTCATTTCTTGAAACCAGCTGCTTCTCCTTAACTCCTTGTTGAAATCAGCTGACATCATAGACTTGACAAAGAGGCTTCCGAGGGGTTCTTTTTTTAGCCTAAGAAAAGAAAAGGGAAAAATAAGGTCTTATCAAATAAGGAGTTTCTTAGGCAGAAAGGAAAAGTAGGTTGGATTGATTTTACGTGAAAATCCACCTATTTTATATTCAAGATTCTGATGCGTTGATTCGTGGGAAGATTTCATAAGTACGTAAATTACGTATTTCTTACATCACGTTATAAGTTAAATAATTAAAATTTTAAAAAATGAAATTATAAAAATCAAAGTTCTAATAGAATAAAAAACCGATTTTTTATGTAGTATTTTAAATAATTTTTTAATTGAAAAAACAATATATTGTTTAAAAAGAAAATTGCATTTAGGAAAACGATTAAATTAGAATATATAATAGAAATAAGGGAGATCAATTATACAGTATAAAGAATTGTAAAGAAAACATGTAATTGATAATAAAAGAAAATGGACCTTGCGCTTACCTTAACGTTGTCAGCCAGACCAAAGTAACTGGTTCGTAATCCATTCACGTGGTACTAATGCAATTCAAAAAAAAAAAATATTTCGATTCTGCTTTTAAGACTCAACAAAGTCCTAGGTATCCAAAGTTTTAATTTATTTTTTTCAATATTAAAAGTTCAATATAGATAAAAAAATTGATGTGTTCTAATTTTGATTCAGTATGCCTAGCCAAAGAATTTTTAAATATATTACAATTTTTAAGGGAAAATTAGATGCTAATGGTACAAGGATTAGAACTCAACAAGAATTACATGTTGACCTCATTTTTGTCTACTTCTATTAGTCAGTTTCATCAACAGGAATGCAAGAAAAGCCCATGCGAGTGCAATTAGCAAAACATAATATAAAATTATCGGGTAGTGTTTAAAACTATATGTAAAGTTTAACGGTTGTGTATGAATCTCTACCCATCTGTGCATATTTAACGTCAATTAAAAGAAGAAGAGTGAGTGAGTTTCTGAACGCTAGCTAGGTTTGAAGAGTTTGACGAAACCAAATACATACGCCCTTGGACTAAGCTCTCGGAGATAAAAGGCTTCGACGATCCACCTTTGCGCTGAAACCTAAGATTGATTGTTTTCTATCTTAATACAGGCGCACATTCAAATAGCATCGAGTAAAATGCAGCTATTACTTACAAACCACAACCATCTCAGAAATTTGTAGGTGTTGTCAGACATGACCAATTCTAATCTAGGGGTGGCGCCGTTCAATACCAGACCACAGGCAAGAGCCAGCCCTGTGGCAGCTAATCCCAGTTTTTCCTTTGGTACGACTGAAGATAAAAAGTAACCTACCGAAAAAAAAATTATGATCTAGATGCGAAACATTTTTTGTGATTGGAGAAAACAATTATAAAGAATCGATCGATCATACCCATCGCCCACGTCGCCATATAGCACAGTAGAACAATTAAATAGACTTCGTAGAATGGTGCTCGGTATGCATAGAACAATATGAATGCCAACGAATACATGAGAGATGCCAATAAAATTCGCGGAATGTCGGCGACAACTTTAGCAAGGAAGTATGGAACGGTTCTCATTCCCGCTGCCGTATCGCGCCAATACACGACTCTCTCGTACCCAAACGTCGCTGTTCCGGCTATTCGGAGAAAAAAGAAGCTTATTGATTGGAAACAAAAAAACCCTCATTTTGGATATTCTCTTCAGCATACCATTGATCCCACAGAAGGTGGCACCCAGCGCCATAAATACCGAAATATTCTAATAATTTTGATTGACCTATTTGTTCATGAAAAGATGGGACAAGAACACAAAGACAAACATCCAATTACCTGAAGCCCATCCGCCGGTGAAAGGCAAGAAGGCAGAACTATGAATGGAGTTATACTGCAGAGATCTTGAGGTACTTTTCCAATATAATCCTGATTACTTATTGCAAATGAAATGAACAGACCGGCCACGAGATGTACGGATTGATCATACATGAAACCACCTCTGTTTCGATAGAGTTGCAAGCAGGACCTCTTGAACAGGAGTACGAAAGTTATGAAAACATTCGGAGTTTCTCGGATGTGATTGCTTTTCCAAAACGCGCAAGATTTGAGAAATTCCCAGAATTCAGAAATCACATCGATGACGTATTCGCGAGATTCAACGTAAATATGATATACCGATGAGATGAAACCTCCTGCGAGTTTACGAGATTCCGCTTCCGGTAATAACCCTAAGCCCAATTCCAAGTTTGATTCGTGTACCCTTGTCTCCCCAAAGAATCCTGTGGCTTCCTTCTTTCCCCCTTTCCAAATTTCATGAAGGTCGATCAATGTCACATTTGGCTTCCCCCTAGGATGCACTGATAAACAAACCATTTCACATGAGAAGTTGTAAATAATAAGACGGTGTATATGATTTCGATCCGTTTTACCTTTCCCAGATGCAATCTCCATCATGAAATCGGATGGACTAAAAAAAAAAAAACATAGGCGTGCCAATAAATGCAAGTTCATCCTTACACCCAGTTCCCAACTCACGTTTCATGCTTTGAAATACCTTAAGAATGGCGGACTCTCATAACCGAGATCGGTGAAATAATCCATTGCCTTGTCTCGCTCACCGAAATATATGATCATCCCTCCTTTTCCTAGCAACATGAAATCGTCAAATGTATCAAACGCCTGTGGTGATGGAGAATGAATAATTGCCGCGATCGTAAGCCCTTGCTGGTGAGCAATGCTTTTCAACATGGTGCACACTTCGAACGATGTGACAGAATCTAGACCCGAAGTTGGTTCGTCCTGCGATTTGGGAGAAGAAAATATTTTGTTAGACAGAAATTTATCGAGACAATATATGAATGCTGATGCAACTTACTAAGAAAAGAATCGATGGTTCAGCGACAAGTTCCATTCCTATGTTCACGCGTTTTCTCTGTCCACCAGAGATACCTCTTTCCTCTGGAGACAATACGGACAAATTATAAGTGTCGGAGGATTAAATTGAAACTTCCAAAGACAACGAACCTTACCCTCATCTCCGATAACCGAGTCCATCACATGATCCAATCCCAAAAATTTAATGATCTCGATAACCTTTCGTTTCTTTTCCGCGCGTTCCATGTTAGAAGGCAGGCGCATCAAAGCTGAATGCTAGTGTAATGGTTTTGGCATATAGGTGATTCAGCCAAATTTGTTGAACAGAACATCTATGCGATCTCAACGATGCATGTGCTGACAGCTTACCACAAGAATCTCTCGCACGGTCAACTCTCGTAGCATTATATCTAAATAAAAAGTCAAAGGAAGGAGTGAAGAACCGTGCATTCAGATTGACGGAAAGATCGAATCGCACGGTGAGAAAAATTTGACGTATACGAACCTTCCTGAGGTACAAACCCGATGAGTTTTTGATACTTCTCCAACGACTCCGTCACACCATTAACTACTCAAGTGCGCACCTTTGTCAGTAAAATATTGATCATAATGAAGGTACAAGTCGTAATCTGTAGGCTAAGGCATGACCAACTAATTACCTTTCACTTTGCCACTAGTTCTTTTTACCTTTCCGGTCAAGAGCGAAACAAACGTTGTCTTACCGGCACCTGAAGTTAATGAATGAGAGAAAAAATTCTTAACGAGTTCGTTCGTTCGAAGAGTCGATCGGTTAGGTTACCTGATGGTCCCATGATCGCACAAGTTCTGCCATGTAAAAATTTTCCCGAGACACCCTGAAGAAAGAAGGTTGGATGCCAAGGTGAACACGGAAACCTCAATATCTCAAAACAGTGACAACAGAATAAACCACCTTCAGAATTTCAATGCCCATGGGCGTCACCAAACTCAAATTTTCAAATTCGATATCAAAATATTTTGGCACGGATCCCAATGTTCTTTCAGATAGTGGCCTCTTCTCATGTAAGATTCGCTGATATTTCATCCTTTTCAGTTCATCGGACTTCCTTTTAATATGCAACAGGATCAATATTATTGAAGCCAGGACCAAGACGAATAGCACGACAAAATATTTATTTGCGGATGACGATCCGAGAGGACAGAGTGCGAGGTAATGACAAGAAATTGGATCCACGGTGCCTGAGTGATGATGGCGCAATCCATTTTAAATAACTGAAAAGTGTAAACAGATAATGACCAATATACTCGTACCTAGAGTACAAAAATAGCCTGAAAAGAAGTGTCGAGATTAGAGGTGCCAGAAGAACGATTTTCGCAATATCAAATTGATTCTCACCGGAAGGACATGGAGTCAATTGGGTCGTATCTCTCGAGCAATAATAACCTTCGCAACAATACACCGGCTGCGCTATTTGGATGAAAATGCTGGGTTGAGAGAAGTTCACCCGATTTCGGTAATTACATTTTCACGCTAAGATACGTACCACCTGCGTGAAGAAGGAAAAAAAAATAGTTAAACACTTCGATTTCATCTCATCTGATGGGAAGCATAAGAATAACGAACGATTTTGATACGGAACTATTATTCGGACAAAGGAATCCTGCAGTACATGGGTATTTCGCATTGGGACCGAGACAATAATAGCTAGAAATTAAAGAGGGAAATTTTTTCAAAGACAACTCCACTTTTAGTGACATTGAAAATCGAAATTTTACCCAGCCTCGCAGTCCCACGATACATTGAATCGGTTCTCCCCGGGACGTGGCGTTGACACGTAAAGACACTGGTGAGTGCTATTCTGCGATTTGAAACGTGGTGTAATGAGATATAAAGAGGATGTGACATTCGTGTTAAATTGTGAAGTCCAACTTACTTCGGTCCCGGGAACATTCTTTAACTTAATCAACTTGCTGTATTCTCGAGGATCTAAAATTAAGTCATTTGACGATTCCGACGGCATTGATTGCGTTCCATTTGTCGTCACCACTGAAGGTAATACTGTGGGAATCGAGTTAAAAGAATTAAAAAACGAAGTGGTCGAAGCTGCCGTCGGCTCATCAGATGCGGTCGAAATTGTCGTGGGTTCATCGAGTGAGGATTCGGGTAATGTAGTCTGTGCCAGCGCTGTTTTCGACAACAGCAAGATTCCCAATAGATAACAGATCATTGACGCAAGCGACAATTTCGACATGAATGAATTCGACAGGTTTTCTTTGAAAAATAAATAAATAAAATAAATAAATAAATAAACGAACGGACGGATGACCGTTTGCTAAAAAGGTGAGATTAATTAAGGAGGAATCGCTAAGCCTCGAAGTTTTGTGAAATTTTTTCTCCGCGAGACGCCTCAACAAATTTACATTTTTATCCGATGAAACTTAAGCAAATAGCTTAGCCATAAGTAGGAGTGATATTAGGGAAGCGTATAACGTTACGAGCGTTTTCAGAAATTGCCACATATTTAATAGTCAAAAAATCGAATTCGGACCGATGGCCTATCTTAATTAGTAAAAATGTTTCCAGGAAAAATTTTCCATAATCAAAACAAATGTAAATGACAGCACATTTTAAAAATAGATCATTAAGATCGATTGCACGATAAAAGTCCATTTATGTCATTGGCAAGAAGCAATTAGATAATCATTTGCAAATGGCTTTCTTTGTTTGGTGTTATCGTTATGAGTGCTGCGAACATCCGTAATTTCAGATCGATTAAAAAAAAATATAAATATATATATTTTTATTTTATTTTATTCATTAAGTTTTCCAGTTTAGATTTATTTATTCCAAATAAGTTCAGCTCCTGTTTAGAAATGGTTCCCGTGAGAAATGTTGGAAGATAGGTGAAAACTATAATGATTGTATGAATAGTTCTATAAACGTTATCTGTGAAATATGTGCGCCATTAATAATTTCAATGAGATTAGATTACCACATGTAACGACAAGAAAGGTATTGCACTGAACGCCAACAATTTGAAACTGACGTCTGGTGCATATATCAAACACGAAATTAGTATGTAATTGATACGTAAGAGGCTAGTGGAAAGAGGATGCAACATATTTATAGGTACTGTACATCAAAGGCATTGTACAATACTGTTTGAAGGTACAAAAGACCACCGTATGCATTGATGTGCTTTTCGATTAAAGAATTTTTTTTTTCTTTTTCCTCTTCGATTAATTGGTCAATGTATGTATGCATCCGTGTTGGAAATGAAATAAGTTAGAATTCACTAATTTGAAATATTTCGCATTCGCCGATGGTAAACTCCTTGTTACCACTGTAAATCCCTTGATCATAATATTGAGGTTGGCATGTGCATTTCATCTTTTTCAGATCGATCACCATATCTTTCACTCCAAACCTTGGTCCGAGCCAGAGGTAAGGTATGTATTCATCACTCGTGCTCCTCACTTTTCGCGCCCTGCTGATTATCGAGCTTTCCGTCTTCGGTTCGCCATTTTGGAAATTAAACAAGAAACTTTGATCGGTGGTCAGGGCGTGAAGCGTTAGTGATTCTCGGTTCAATCCGTTAGGCGCGAATCCACCAATGATTGCCTTTGAGTCGAGAACTTTCGCTATGACCAATGTGTTGGCAATTTTATTGCATGTTTTCTCATATTCTTCCATTGAAAATTTTTCGGTATCCTCAGCCGTTATGCGAAATAGAAGGTCAAATTGATATGTGGGTGATGCTGCTCTGGCTTTATTGAATCTCCTGAAGGTAAAAATTCGTTTCAGGCCCGTACGCCTTTCCGGTGGATTTTTTGATTTCTCCCTTCCAAAATCAATCCACTTCAGGATCACGTCAGCGTGAAAATGATTTATTATGGACGAATCGTCTAAAATGATGTGTCGCAATATTTCGCTTTGTCCGTGTGGGACGTCCTTATTGAGATAACATTGGAGAACGGGATCGTGGATATTCGGTGGAATGATTTTGCTAAATGAGATGATCTTACCGTAGTAATCATTCCGAGAAATTCGAGAGAATTGAATGTGCGAGATGACTTCCTCCACAGCATCCCTCAATAGCATCCATTCCCGTTGGGTCCAATGAGCTATGTCGTGTCCTAAGATCGGGCTCTGTTGGACCCCCCACCTTACCAATATGTCCCAGGTCGTACCCGGGCTGATGTACAGGCATTCGTCATCCAGCAACGAGGAAAAGCACCGTTCATTCAGATTGGTCAAATCTTTGGAGTTCAACAAATGCCATGGGTCGGTATTGATCTTGTGAATTAGGTGATGACGAATTCTCTCGTCACCGTCGTTTGTGAAAACTCCATTGATGATTTGGACCAAATTTTCATGTAACCATTCGGATTTGTTCTCCAAGATGTGTTTCTGTAATTTCCCGGTCACCTCGTCGATGCCAAAATGATCGGCGATCTTCAGGAGGTCGATGCAGAGCGTCCCATCCAATTCCAATTCGTTTACATTCACCTCACTCTTGTAAAAGAATCTGTGATGGAGAGAAGGATTAGGCTGGTGGGTCAGAACAACGATTAATTCAGGAAGACCGAGCATTTGAGATTCACCTGAGCAATGCCCGAAATGTATTTGGCGAAACCTGAGGTTCTTCTAGAACTTTACAATCGCCTTCCAAGATGTGACTGTGGGGTAGGATGTTACAAAAGTATCGTGATTTCGATTCCAACACATCGGAATTACAGTAAAAATCTTCTATGTTTGGATCTTCGCCAACCCTAACTATCACGTCAAATTCCTTTTGAGAATAATATTCTGGGAATGAATCTGAAATGCCAATTAGTTGTTCGTAATCGCCGTCCTCCAAAAAATTCAGCAAGTCAATTGAAAGGCGACTCAGGGATTCCAAATTTGAATCCATCGTTTGTTGATGTTATTCCAATTAAGGAAATAAAGCGGCCTATATTAGTTAAGGAAAACTTGAACAAAAGGAGGAGAATGTCAAATTGCAGGATGGGATGCAGTGGATGAAGAGAAATACCTCCCTATCAATAAAATCGGTTCACCTCAGAATCCCTTTTACCAAAATAATTACATCATTCATAATAAATTACTTTATTGTTTTACAAAGGCATACTTTCAATAACACGCACGCCATTCCGGCGACGATCTTTCTAATTTGCGTAATGGTAACGGTTACAAGATTGACGTCGAAAAAGAGGAATAAAAAAAAGATACCCATTTTATATGCAACCAACCGAATGTCGCAACACTCTAAAATACACGGTTACACGACGTGACGTGTACAAACCATCCATTCAGGGCGAGGTTTAAAGACCAACCTGTTGAGTCGGGTATTCATTTGTTTGTAGTTTACGTCCAGTGTGATTCGAGAATGCCCCAGACTTTGTGATTGAGAAAATTCTTGGAGTTGTGCAGCCACCAGACCATGGTGGGTGGTTACATTTTCCTTGTAGGGAAATGAACGACTCTCCCGCCGAGAAGAATAAAAAGAAGTGAATAGCTACAGTGTCTTCACCCTGACACATTATTATTATTAACCTTATTCGAAAAAAAAATTTGATTTTGTCATTGTCTGTAAACCGTTCATTCATCTCTATTTACGCGTGATTTCGCCTGTTCCCCAACCTCAAGCAAATCGTATTTGTTGTCAAGTTAGGGCGGTGTTTCGTTTCGTTTTAAGGAGTACTTCTCGTAAAAACTTTATCTAACGCTAACGGTCCTGGGGAAAGGGCATCTCTGGTGGAACGACGAAAACCCTGGCGTGATAGATCTAACTACAAACGATATGCAATAGATCAGAAGAAAACACCAATCAACGAATGATCGAAATATTAATGTCAATCATCATCGGTTATTGTAGTTAACGTTGTTCGCTGCATTAGGTTAATAGCTGATGTGTTAACCGTGCGTCTGATGCCGGGTCGCATAGTGAGACATGCCTAAATTTATTCGAGTCGGATTCTTCGAAAAAATGATATCATTCAACCTTGTTGTAAATATGAGTCATACTTGTGTACAAATAATGCTACAGTAATAATACTTTTGCATAAAGAACACACATCGTAGTTCTTTGATCGCAAAGATTCTCGGAAAATTGCAAAGGTGAAAAACTTTCGAAACTCCTGACGCAGCGCAAAAAAGGCTAGTAGAGTTCAGATACCTCTTACATCATTTGTGGGGTATTTCGTCTTTCTTGGAGGTGTCTCCGGCTCTGGTCGATCATGAATTAGAAGATCTCGTTGATTGGTAAATCTAATTTTAGGTATTTTGGTACACCCCGGGAAGAATGACATGACATGACATGACCAGCAGAAACTTTCTTTCATGTGTCCGTTAAAGAACAGCAAGGGCCATGGTGAAACAGAACGATGAGAATAAAATAATTAGTTGCATTGCATAACATCTTTTGTTAAGTGATAAGGGTAAACAAAATGTACAACATTAAAGACAAATCAATTTTCCGTCGAGTGACACGGTGAGGTATAATTAGCTTTATTTGTTACAGAGTCGGCATCTTCTGGTTTTTTTCTTTGCCGAGGTCATGTGCAAACACGCAATCGGTAGGGAGTGTGCCCCAAGGAACACCCGAATCGCGGGTGATTTTCCTCAGTTGGTCATGAGAGGGTTGATCACAACGACCGATCTTGGTAATCCTTGTGTCAGTCTGAATAAGGATCTCGCTTTCTTTCTTTGACACATCAATGTCACTCATTTTATTAATGGGAAAACCATTGTATGTGTAATCAATACGCAATTCCGAGAATCACTTTTTTTCTTGTTTAATTTTAGCCGAATGAAAATGTGATACGAGGTAAACGCGCGTTCGCACACACCGAGAATTTTTAGAAACCTTTCGGATTGTACATATCAACAGAGATATTTTTGACAACTTGTATTGACGCAGGTACGTACGTACGTGCGTATCCTAATTAGAGAAATTATTTTTGGACACAAGCGGAAGATGTTTAAATCACTTCTATAACTGCAAATGACCCCACAGAAATCAAGGATACTACCCATACTTTAAATTTGTGTCACGATGAAACAATCATTAATCATTCGCGTGTATCATCTTATATGCAATAAATAAATTATATATTGCACAGTGTAATGTTTAAACTGTATATTATTTCAAAGCCCCTTATTGTAGGTTAAATTAGTGATAGGGTTGATAGTGTAATGATCATAAATGAACGAGTATAAGAACATCGCAAAAATTTGTACTGCACGGATTACATTAGCTGCCGAGTCCTTTCTTGTGAATCTTGAAACTTTTTTCTTTCACGACCATCCTGTCAAATTTTATCATAATATAAAATAATAAAAAAAATCGTGACATTATCCAAGACGACAAATTTTCTTCATTAATCCATCTCACTCACTCACTCATTCATTGCACCCACTCATCCCATAAATACACATACACATACAGTTTGTCATTCTCTCATTCTTCAAGATGACTGCTACAACTTCTGTTCGTATGCATGACATTTCAAAAAGTTCACTCGATGACATAAGGCTCAAAAAACAGACGAATAATCAACCCTTATCCGACCGCAAAGCGCAAGAGGCACTAAGAAAATTGGTTGATGAATTGGTTGACCTATTCGTCGAAGAGCAACAACTTGGCAAAGACGATGTCAGGATCAGACAACTCATTTTGGATTGCATCATAAAGAGGAACCGTGGTGCTCACGAGGTGTTGAAATGGCTGCACAGCAATCAACACAAACTACAATACAAGACTCTCCTTGGCTACTTTTATCTGCATGACATCGGCACCGAGATAGATTTACGAAAGGCCTATAACCTATACCTCGCCGCTGCCAAAAAGGACTATCCCATCGCCCAGTACCTGCTCGGGGAATGTTATTCTTCTGGCATGGGCACGAAGGCTGACGAAAAATTGGCTTTCCAATGGTACCAAAAGGCGGCCGAGAATGGGAACGCCAATGGTCTGAATTGGGTCGGGTACTGTTATGAATTTGGAAAAGGCACGGAGAAAGACATTAGCAAAGCATTTAATTGTTATAAAAAGTCAACGCGACAGTCCAATATGCTCGGAATGCACTTCCTTGCGGATTGTTACGAGAAGGGTAAAGGAACGCCCAAGAATCGGGATCAGGCAATATATTGGTATCGAAAGGCCGCCGAACATGGGCACGAAGGTTCCCTCACCGTGCTGAACAAACTTTTAAAAGCCATCAATTCACCGCCATTGCAACAGGTAATTTTTCGTTTACATGTACGCTACACTTCATTCAATAAAAGAGCATCTGTCTAATTAATCCTTAATATTTTCACAGGAATGATTTTGATCTTCTCGTGTATATTTTTATTTTTCATTTTTATTATTATTTTTTCTGTGATAAAACTAAACCTTAATTTCCGTCGATCATGCGTAATGATCACGGGAATTTCGTTGTTTTATAATTTTTTTTTTTCCTTCGAGAATTGTGATCCTATATGTTATCATGTACGTACTGTATATCGAACAATTTTATCGTTCATCTTTATTATTATTGACTATGAGAACATATAGAATTACGTTCCATGTAATTATTCCAAAAGTTTTATTTTTCTATTTTCCTTGTTTTTGTATTGATAATTTTTTTATTTGTCTGGTATTTTTTTATGCATATATAGTATATTCTTTCCCATTTATAATATCACTTGAACATACGTATAATATTGTGGCCGAGCTTGTTTATAATATACATCATGCCTTGACAAGCTATTTATACAGTAATTGTTTACTTACATACTATATAGAAACAATAGTAGTTTATCTTGTTGTCTTTGTAGTTATTTTTATTAATATTTCCAGTTGCTTCCTCCTTTAATAGGATTGACTTGTTTTTAGGGTTCTTGAGTTGTATTTACATCGGATAATAAGAGATAGGTTGTAGTGAAGGGATTTTTAAATCAAAGCGGAACTCAATAAAAGATATTTAAAATCGTTAGTTTGATTTGCGAACGCAAATTTCTTTCTTCACAAGTTTTGTGTTTAAATCACAACACCAGTGGTTAGAGCGAGAAGTAACGATGTCAATAATTCATATCATCACGAGAACTTGAAAAAAATTTTTTTTTTTTTTTTAAACGAAGGTACGAAGAATTTTCGATAAATAACTTGTGCATGTGTTTCTTTTTATTATGCTAACATTTGATAATGCAAAAATTTTCTTTTCTTCTGTGACTGAAATTACGCAAATAACAAAGATTTTTTTACATGATTCTTTTCTGAACATTGAAAACCTGCAATTATTCGAGAAAAAATTCTCAACCTTCACATCCTAACTATAACTGCCGTCGTTTAAATGAGCAAATTTCCCAACATGGACATTCCACCGACTACTAGCATCGATGCAAAGACGCCAAAGCTTCCAAGTTCCAATGAAGAAGCCGAAGAAGAATAATATTGTCGTTTGTTCAGATCGTTCTCCTTGATCAAATTATTTATGACTTCTGCGCGGACTTCTGGTTTTTCATCACGGAGTTCAAGTTCGGAACTTGCGGCGACGACAGATAGAATTAAAACAAAAAGGAAGAAGGTGATGATGAATTTTGAGGAATGCATTTTTCTTTTTTATTAGTCGGGTTTGTATGTTGGTGACTTATTTGTCTTCTAAATTCAAATTTTCTCCAGGCCAAGGAGACGGGTTTATTTATAAGACAACTTCTGAGCGCAGGAACGATATAATGTAACATATCTTTGCGCCGGTCGAATTCTTAAAGGGTTAATCCTTCCAAGTTCATACATTATTTGTTTCATGCTCATCGTATCTATGCTGCTGGCACATGGATGGTTTTAGCATCAAGCCGCTCTCTGCCAAGTTTTGAAACGACATGATTGAGTGTTTGGAAAAACCTTTTTTTAAACAAATCATCTATATGATTCCATATTTAACTTCCTCATATAGACTTAGTTCATAATGTAATGAAAAACAACCTATTTAACTTTAAGAAATAAATAAATACACATGAAACTCGATATTCGATTATCATGGAAACTAATAAAGATTCAATAAAAAAATTCTTGGCATAACGAAATGAAACTTAAAACAAGCAAAATAAATTACGCTCGGTGTAACAGATTGATAGTTACAATGGAACTGTCAGAAATCCTTTATACCAATCAATCCTCGGATTACTTTTACTATGTAAACAGAAAGAGAAAAAATCATTTTTTTTTATTGCTAAATAATAAAGGCAAAAAAATCAATAATTTATTCACATACTGTATCTATAATTATTTTATAATTTTACATCTTATATTAAATGAATTTATATGTATTTCAATTAAGTAAATTCAAGTAATCGAATAATTGGGATGTTAAAAGTCAAGTTTTTAATCGATTTGGCTAAAATATAATAATTTATGTTGTTCATAATATACAATAGTAAAATAACATAATTATGTTATTTCCACTTAACCTAGGTTGTGATATATGGCTTGATAACAAAAATTGGCCACAGTTGTCGGCAGCATGATATTTTTTTAGATCACATTTTCAATAACAAAATTTAGCCATCATCATGTGATCTAATAATAGAAATTGACCACTTTGATGAATATATCTTTTAGAAAGTCAAATTCAATATTGTTAATTTTTTAATCAATTATATAAATTTTCATATATCAGCTTAATGTTTTTGATTGATTTTTGTTAAATAGAAATATCTGATTTAGTTTATAATACCTCAGGTGTGCTTCTTCTCTATTATCTTTAGAAATTTTAGAAATCTAAATTCAATAATATTATTTGTATACTAGTTTGATAATTATAACTGATTTCTGTTGCAATAAAATAGCTGAGATAGATTACATTACTTGATTGATTTTATTATAAATTTTATGGCTTTAATTACAATTATATTATCATTTGTAGAAGCAAATATATTATGCAAATACTACTGTATTATACTATTAAGTTATGTTATTGAGACATGTTATCAGATATATAATATATTATCAAATATATATATAATATATTTTTTTTTCCTGTAGTCAAACAAGTGCATACTGTTTATTAAATCTTTACAGAAAACAAATAATGTGTAATACAATGTATTGTATAAACTATTCTACTGCCTTGAATATCTGTCTTTGACTGCTGTCTCTAGGTGTGACTTTGAAGATGAAAATAGTTGCTCCCTTTATAATTTACTTGCCTATAAAGTTCAATCTTAAAAATCATTGCTTGCAGTTCATCACTACAGTTCATCTAAGCAAAGTCTGGACTACTTTTATATCCCTAACCATTTTTTCTCTTCTTTAATCCAATCCCAAATTACGATTTTGTTTTGGGTCTGAGAGCTGAAGTCTTTTTCCTTGTCTTGTGACATTTTGGAATTTGTTTCCTCCTGTTCTTGGTCTTTTGACTTACACTTCTTTCTTCTTTTCCACTAGTAGTGTTCCCTTTATATCTACATATTTTAGGCTTTTTTCCGGAGTCCTGTAGCTTGACACATCTATCATTTCATATCCTTTTCTAAACTTGCTTGCAGATATTTCTTGAAAATTTTTTCAGTAATTGCTTTGCTCTGTTAGTTTTCATCTTAGCATTGGTTATTGTTTGAGTCCATTCTGCAATATCTTCTTTTAAAAAGAGTCCTAAGCATATGTTTATGATTTTTATTCCTGTGAAGAATTTGCTCCTATACTATCTTTGCAAAAGATCTTATATGATAGCTTGCTTGTCTTGTATTTTTCCTGCTTGAATACTTTCTAACTATTTGTTAAGTATTTGATCCTAATTTTGGTTCCATATTTCTTTATGAATTTCTGAAATACTGTTACAGAACAGGAGAATTTCAAGAGATTCTTCTTCTTGCTGACAATATAAATACATGATTAAGTTTTCGTATTTTGTAGAAAATCTTTTGATCATGTTGTCCAGGGTTGGTAGTTCGTTATGTATCAGTTTTATGCGAAAGGCTTTTTCTTTGACTTGTTTGAACAATGTTGTTAAAGAGCCTCCTACTTTGTTTGCTTTCTAAAAACTTTTCCAATCAAAATTTTCTTGGTCTTCTATTTCTTTAGCCCATCTTTTTTGTATTCAATTCTGGCTTGCTCATTTTGTTAAGATGCTCTTTTTGTGTATTTCTTTAACAAAATCTCTTATTCTAATATCTATAGGAATCCTGTTCCAACATAATGTTGTTAGAGCTTCTTGTTGATACCAGTTATTCCAGATGATCTCGGGTTTCTCTTTTGCTTCTTTGGTGAGAAGATCTACTTTGTTATTGGCTTTATCTTTGTCATGTGCTTTTATTTTGGTCATTTTGATTATAATTTGTTTTTTGTGTATCAGGTCTATACATCTTGTCCACAGCTGCCAATTTTTGTACTTTTTATTTCTTTTTCCTATATCTCTAACATGTGGGTTTAAGAGCTTCTGTAGGGTATTGATACAGATTGTACTATCTGTTCGAATTTCTATTTGGCTTTTTTGGGGTATGACCAGAAGTGTTAAGATGATTGCTACTAGTTCTGCTTGGAGTGCTGATGGCCAGTTATCTACTCCCACTTGGAAGAATCTTTTTGGATTCGATTCTCTTTCTTATAGTCAAGCAACTTCTATTTTTAGTATTTGATCTCTTGCTCTTCCATATAATCTGTCTGTATAGAAGCAATAAGGCTAGTGGAAGTCACTTTCTTTATTCATTCTATATTCTTCTATTAGGGCTTGTGTGTATTTCAGGAATTGGATGTGTTCTTTAATTATTGATACTTCCAAATTTTCTATTTCAACTGTTATAAGGTGGTTATTAGTAATCTTTTGTTTATTGGAGTGCTCCAATTCTTTTTTGGCTTGATTTTCTAGCACGTGTATACTAATTGGAATTTCTGGTTCATCTGCTTTTCTTAATGATAGGCATTGATTTAGAATATCACATGCTAGAACTCTGATCTTTGATCTTTTGTTACCTCTACAAAGATTTATTCTATCCAAGGGATTTCTTGTTTCTTCTTTGGAATTTGTTTGGATACTATCTAGAATTCTTTGAAGTTTGGCTGAGTCTGGTTTGGATCCTGCCTTCAACTTATAGATCTCTACATGTGGAGTCTGGTGACCTGAGTTTCTTTTACTTCTATACCAAGTAATTTGTTTATTTGTTTCTTCTGTATTTGTGATTTTTCAACTCCATTGGTGTTGGTCTTTGTTTTGATTACTCATGAAAAATCTTTTATTTTGCTCCTCCCAGTTTTAATTTTGCCATCTATTATTTAGAATGTTGTGTCTGTTTGCGAGAGTTACTTGGATTTTATTGTACCATGATGATATCAGTTCTTTACTGGTTTTAGATAGAATTTGGATGATTTTTTAGGATAGTATCGTTTTCGTGTCTTTGTCAATTAGTTGGTTTACAAACATTATATAGTGTTTTCTTAGGGATAGAATTGCTTTTTGATATGTTTCCATGTCATTAAGCTTATTTTTGATGGATAGCGAGCTTCCTTTTTATTTAAAATGGTTTGACCATCAGGAGTTAAATATTGTAATTTCCAGATTATTTGCTAACTTCAGTACTTGGACTGAGAAGTTCTTTGAACATTTAAAGGATTGGGGGATATCGTTGGTTAGGATATTGCTTGGTTTCCAATTTTGAATTTGGGCCTGTTTAAGACGGATTAGTATAGATATACTGGCTGGACCTATATCGCTTAATCTGTTTATAAAGTTGAAGATCTGGTTTTCTGTTTGGATTTTCTCAATACTTTTGATGTTATATATCTTTTTGTGGTAAATAGTTGAGTTTGGAATTGTTAAGACCAGTTCTATTATTTTTTTTAAAGCCTTTCTTAATTGGGCTGTTAGGCTATTATATATATTTTGATTTAGGAAACAATGTTGCATCTGGTATTCTATGCGAGGAATAAGAACTCTATTTAGAATATACTCTGCATGTTTGTCTGTTATTTTTTTCTTCTGAAGGCCTGATACTACAGTAGTGATTTCTTGTTAAATTTGAAGAGTTGTATCTCTGATCTGTTTTTTACTTCCTATTCATATTCCTAAAAATCTAGTAAAACTGTTGTGGTCATTCTCAACTACTTCTTACTAATTTATTCGAATCTTTACTGAGTTTAGTCCTTTGTTGTGACTGTTTATTGTTATTAATATTGATTTGTTGTCATTGATCTGGAAGTCATTAGCTGCATAAAACCACTTGGCTCTTTTGAGAATATTTTCCATGTCTTTTTCTGATCTGGTTATCCACGTCATGTCATCCATATATGCTATTGCAGCTTGTCAGGTATTCAATTGCATGGTTTCTTTTTTACTGTGGTTGGTTCTCCATTCACAGTTCATGGAGTATTCCAGTTTTGGATTTTCCTGGATTTTGCATAGCAAGGGATTATAGAAAATATGCCAAAGGAGAGGAGAGATTGTTTCCCCTTGATCTATTCCATCCCACTGTTATTTTCTTTGTAATTTCTACATCAGTAATTACTTGTAAAGATCTATTAATGAAAGGATCTAATATGAGTGCTATGAGGTTTTCTGGAATTTTAATTCTTTAAAGTGCTTTTTGTAACATCTCCAAACTAATCGTATTATATACTTTGGCAGTATCTTGAAATAGAATCCAAGTTCCTTTTTCTCTTCTCTGGCCTCTTCACAGATATTGTTTAACAAGTAGATGGGTTCTGAAGTGCTTTCTCCTGGCAATCCTGCGAAATTAGGACCTTTTAAAATATTGTGTCTTTTGCATATGGTTGATAGTCGATTAGTGATAATTTTGATAAAACACTTTTGTGAGACATCCAAAAGAACTATTGGTCTAGTATTGCTTAGGATGCCTTGCCATTCTTTTTTCTTCGAGATTGGATATAGTAGATTTTCTTTCCATGCTGCAGGAGTCATATTGTAGGTTAGGTATATATTCATGTGTTGACATAGTATCCTTTTTCTTATTGTTTTGAGATTTTTGAGTATCTTGTATTTGATCTTGTTGGGTCCTGCTGCTTTGTCATTTGGAAGATCTTTCAAGACTTCTTTTAACTTATTCTTTGAAATAGTGTTTGTCATCCCATTATACCATTCTTCTTTTATTTTGGTTTTAGAAATATATTGTTTCTTTCATTTCTTGTCTAGTAGGTCAAAATTATTATTTCTTTTTTTGAAGGCTTTTTTATAGTACTCTACAGTTTGGTGCAGAATTTTTTCTTTGTTTATTGATATGTACTTTCTTCCTAGTTCATCTTGGATACGAATTCTGTCTATAATAATTTTGTCTCAAAAGTTGTTTATCAAACCCTATACTATCTTTCTTTGATTCTCTCTAAGATTTTTGCATTTCTCTTGAACCACTTGTCTGATTTTTGTGTTGGTTCTGTTTCTTTCTTCGTTGAGACATATTTTTTTAAGGAAGCTGACTGTCTCTTTAAGCTTTTGCATCAAGATGTCTTTCTTTTCTTCTTTTTCAAGAATGTTTGACAGAGCTTGAGTTAATTTGAGTACCGGTGCTATTGATGCTATATCTTGGTTGACTTTCTTGCATTCATACCATAGCTTTTCTTTCTGGACTGGTTCTTCCAATAGGTCTAGTAGACTGAACCAGTTGTTAAGAGTCTTGGTGATTAGATGATAACTGTGAAGCATGAGTTGTTCTCTTTGACTTTTCTTGTGAAAGTTTGTCTTGATCTTCTCTCTTATTGTTCTCTTTTTGCAATATAAGTGGTTAAAAGCTAAGGATATTAGAATCTTTTTGAATGCCTTTCATAAGTCTTGGAGGTATCTCGTGTGATTTGAACAGATAATATGATATAATCACTATTAGAAATTGAGTGAAAGTTCTCATTGTTGAATTGGAGTATATTGTTTGCTATGCCATAGAATTCCTAGATATAGTTGATTCTGTTGGAGCTTGTATTGTTTTTCCATGTGTGGGTTGTTTCTATTGGTTCCCATAGTTGGTGAAAATTAGAGAGGTTTCAACTGTCCATAAGACTAAACAGTTCGATTTCAAGGTTTTTAGGCTTGGAAAATTCTTGCATATTACTTGTTATTCTACGATCTACTCTTGGATTAATTGTTGCATTGAAGTCACCCATTATTATAATCTCATAGTTTTTTTGTGCATAGGTCTATAGTAGGTTTAGGATCTTCTTCTATAGTTCCCAGCTTCTCTTTTTGTCGCTGGGCAGGTATACTTGAGCAATCCATGTCTTATGGTCTTTGTTTAGAAGATTGATTGCTATAAGGTAACCTTCAATTTTGTCTATTGATACTATATATCTTTCTATACTTCTATGAATGAGTAGTAGAACTCCTGTACTTTTGAGGTTGTCTGGCTCAGTGCTCAAGATACTTTTATATTCTTTTTGGTTTAGAAAGGCGAAGTGTTGGTTTTCTTTGGATAGTTTTGTTTTATATAAGCCTAGGATATCAATTTTCCTTTCTAACATTTCCATTATTATGTTGGTTTGATCTGTGTCTCAAGTGATTCCTCTAATATTGTGTATTGCTATTGTTATCTGTGGTGTTTGGTTATTATCATTGTTGCTTAGAGAAGTTGATATAATTTTTCTTTTCTGGTTTTTTAGGAATAGTGTTTTTTGGTTGGATAGGAATTTTTCTATTTGTAAGGTGCTGTTGATATTGATGTTTGTTGCTAAAGAGGATAGATATATTGTTGATGTGGATTGTGTAATGACAGTATTTGAATCTTCAGCATTAGTTGTAATTTTGACTAGTGCACTACTTTTAGGAATGGTTATATGATTTTTTTTGGTTGTCATATCCTTTTTCTAGTTTGTATAACCGATCATTAATTTTTTCTAATACACTTGTGATTTGTTGCCAGGTATTATTTTCTTTTTTTTTGATTTGCATTCCAATATTTTCGATTCGAATAAATATTGTTAAGGATTTTGATCTTAATGGGTTGATCTGTTCTAGACTTTGGGGCTTACTCTTCTGAGATAATACTTGTTGTATCTTCTTCTTTTGTATTGAAATATTTAGAGTTCATATGTTTTAAGTGTCAGTTTTTTGAGACTTGATGCTTGCTTTGGTAATAGTTTTTGTATTGTCTTGGTTATTCTACTGGATTTTGTTTCCAAAAAGTTCTACATGTGACTTTGAGACTTTGTTCAAGTCTTCTATATTGAAGAAGCCAAGGATAATGGAGCTTCTCTTCTTTCCTGATTTACTATTTGTGGATATATAAACAGTTTTGGTGTTGAGATGTTTGGTTGTACTCATTATTCTGGTTGCTGAGACATTTTTGTTTAGTCCGTATAGTCTGATAGTGATAGTGTTACATTGGGCTAATGTCTTGATATGATTTATATTATTAAATATATATATAATATTTTTTTTTTAACCTTTGCCGTCAACTCAGGTACCTTTTTATCACCTTTTTGCCAGTCTCTCGATATTTTTCCAGGGTACAGGGTGATGATGTCGATCCTAAATACTTGTCTTAGGCCTAAGCCTCTAAGTATAGATGGTGGAAGTGGAAAGTTGCTATTTCAAGGCAAGCAGACCTTTGCTATCATGTCAGGATAATCATTGCCTGCAGCCACCACTACAGTATTTCAACTATTCAGTTTAGCCAAGACTTACTAGGATTTAGTCAGTGAGATATCATTGGCGGGATGAGAGTACACCAGTACACCAAATTCGTTTGGGAATTGGATCCAGCCTTACTCTTCCTAATCTAACCTAGCAACACATGTGGAGGATTACAATTTATGGAGGCATGCAGTCAACCATCACAAGTGTATCCTTAGGATAGAACATCCCATGATACAAGCGACCTCCTGCAATCCTGACCAGATCCTCGCTACCAACGGATATGTGAAACTCTTACTGATAGTTGTATGACTAATGGTTTTAGCTGTCTGTACCTTTCCTTCCACTACTGGAAAGATCCTATAAAACTTCTTTCCCCTTTTGGAGGTATTTCCTGGGCAATACTTGATCAGAAAGTTTTATCAATCAGATCATCTATCTTTTTGACCTATGGGGTGTAGTCTATCCATAAGGCTTCTTGATCGCTGGAACAACCCAAATTGCTTTCTATCACGAGTTACAGGAGCAGTGACACAAAGTCCCATTTGGAATATGTGAATTGCCCCCAGCTGGGATTGAACCGTAGTTCATAGGTTAGCCCTACCCTGCCTTAGCCCACTGAACTATGACCGGGTAGGTCTTTGTAAGCATTATTTATTATACTATTAATTTATAAATTAATAATATATATTTTTATTTATTTATTTGTTTTTGTAAGTAAACATTATTTCTTTATTTAATTTATGTATAACAAAATATTTATTGTAAAAAAAACAATGTTTCTTATATGTTAGTATAATAAATATAATACTAGCTTAACTATAGTAATTAAATAATTAATATTAAAAGTAAGTTTATAACAATATATTTTACTATAATACTAAGTAACTATAAATATTTATTTAATATTAAGAAAAATAAAAATAATATTAGACTTTGATTATATTTGAAATAATTATATTTATATTAGATAAAAGAATTAGTAACTATAAATTAGTTATACTAATTAATTTACTTGAGTTTTATTTAATTTCAGTAAAAGATAAGATATTAGTTGTGTTGCAACATAATTTTTAAATTAAATTGTATAATTGAATTAAGAATTTATTGCTACCTTAATTCAATTAATGAAATTTGTTATAAAGAAAATTTTATTAATTATCTTATATAATAATTTTTTATTTTTCATATATGAAAAATTAATCTAAAGTTATTGTTTAAATAAAGAATTTAATTAATATTATTTATAATTTGATTAGTTTTTTTTAAAACTTTAGAATATTTAAAGATATATTAAATATCTTTGATATAGAATTTACATTTTGAACAATACATGTCTAGATATTAATTTGAAATATATTTTTATTTATTTATTTATTTTTAAATTGACTAAAGATATTAAATATAAGACTTTATTAATAATTATATATCTTGTTATTATATCAGATATCTTTACAAGTTAGACTATTTCTATTCTAAATATAAGTTAATTTTATCCAATAATTACTATTTTCAGTATTACTGATTTTTCCTTAGATCAACCTGACTTTTCTGATTAATTAGCTTTTAAATATTAAGGATATAAGCCCATATTAAATAAGATTTATACAAGAGAAAGGAAATTTTATCACTAGTTTAAACCTATTCATTCTATTGGTTTAATTATATTTTTTGATTGTTTGCCAGAAAAAGATTATATGAAATATTATTATAAAGATTAATTTCAATTATTTCAATTATCATTTATTGCTAATCCTTGAAATATATTATTAATATAATGCAATACTATTATTTTTATCACTTGTGAAACTATATCTTTGTTTGGATTTCAATTTAATCTTATAAATTTTTATTAAATGCATTTGGCTTGGTGATTTTTGTTTAAATTTTTACCACCTATAACTAATAATTTTATTCTTTCAGTTTATAAATATATTTTTATTTATATATTTTTATAAAATATTTATATAATAGAAAATAATTATTTTAAAAAATTTTTATTCTCTTTATAAATATTTAGATTGTATTTTTAATTTTGAGTTAATAAAATAATTATTTTGTTTAACTACTTATATTTTTTTATAGTTTTCTTTTTTAAACAAATAAAATTTATTGTTTAAATTATTGCAATATATTTAAACTCTTATATTTAAATAAAACAAAATATAATTTGTTAAATTATATAATTTGTTTCTATTTTTTATTTCAATTATGTTTGACTTGATATTGATTAAATATTTAAATATTATTTATTTGATAAAAGTAATTTTTTTCATATTGTATAGCTTTTGAATCCCGCTTTATAAAATAATTTTAAATTGTATTTTTATGAAATATCATATTAAATTGAATATTAATTTTATTTATTATATCACCTAGGAGTATAAATTGATTTTTTTAAATATATGATCTGTGAATTTATAGTGTAGTGGTTGATACTCTACAGGTTAAATCACAAGATACCAGTTCAATTCTATATAAGAGCTGTTGAATAGAATTAATATAATATCTGATACTATAATCTGTAAAAGTATTGTTTTTCATAAGAAGTTATTTTATACACTAATACAATGGACATTAATATTGTGATTTCCAGAAAAGGTGTTATGGTGCAATGATCATTCAATTGGTGTTACAATTATCATCAGAAGTTGCAAGATATATGAGGTGTCCATTTTTGACAAGCAGGTTTGATGATCACATCCCTAATATTTAGTATCTTTTTATAAATCCCTGTCCTAGTTTCATTTCAATCCAGTAATAAACTGATCTAGTAGTGTTTATCCCAAGAAGGTATCTAACAGTAAGGTCTGTTTTATGCAAAGTTATATAAATCACTGTTTAGGCAATAAGAACCAATTATAAGTCTATCTTAAACATTCTTGAATATTATTTAGATAAATAAAAAATTAAATAGTTAACCTAGCTATAGGTGGTGATAAAGGGATTTATTTCTGATAAAGCAAGCAGGTGTCATGTAACTTTATTTGCCATATAAAAGATATTACTTCCAGTGCATCCCTTTATTTTTTTTAAATTCTTTCCAATAAAATAAAGCAGTTAATAAATCTACTAATGACTCAGTAAACAAGCAAAGTTTTGATATATTTGTATCAACCTCTATTCATTAGGAAAAGTTGATAGCAACAACTGATATGTGGAAAAATCCCCATATAGTTTAGCATACGTAAAGATAATTAATGTTATAGTATAGTTCTATATAGTAATATGTATGAATATATGTAAATATTAACTTTAATAAAGTTTTCTAAGCAAGGTCTATACTAGCATTTAAAAAAAAAAAAAAAAGGATTTTTTTAAATATAACATTGCAAAACCTGTTTGTTATATTCAAATAATCTTTTGGAATATATATTAGAATGTTCATTCTTTTTTTTATAACAATTTATCGTATTGTGGATGATCAAGGAAGTTGAAAAGCAATAATGATGTCATTAATGGTGGGAAACGGCAAGTCTGTCATTTGCACACAGGTCTGGTCGCGACACATCACACAACAGCTAAGTAGGCCCACTTTGCACTATTTAGCTATTGTTCTTGTCGTCACTAACACTTTCTTGTCTTGTAGGCGAAAGAGGCGATTGAATTTGACCGATCTTCGTCCTTATGTCACATGATCACGGGCGAAACTAAAAGATAGCACAACAAAAATAGAACGCAAGGGTTTTATCACACAGATAAAGGTTATACGTTAACTGAACACACTAGCTCACAACGATGAGCACACAATTGCTGTCTTTATTATTACGAAAGTTTGGTATATTTATACATGTTTTTCATTATCCCAACTATCTTAATTATCCTCATTATCCCAATTATCCCAATTATCCCTCCTATTTTTATCACGATACCCGTTATAGAATCGCGTGACGACTCACCCCTTATTTCCCTGTAACACTGGGAATAAGCACGTTTTTGAAAAAAATCTTTTTATAGTAATTAGTCGCTAACTCATTCCGATAATTTATTATAGGGGGCGTGTATAACAGATGACGAATGAAACAACATATTTTAGTTAAAATTCATATGCATGGAAGATCTTGGGGAATTTGGTGCACGTTTGTTAGAAAAAGAAAATCAGCTTTAAAAAAAGATGCTTGAATGGATGAATTAATTAATTATTGTCCTTCGCTACGCTTCGGACAATCCAAACTTGAAAATGTCTGTCTGTCACTAATGAACTACTGACAATAAAATTTTAGAATTATGCAATACCACGAATAATTTTTAGCTTCAGACGCTCAAACAGTTTCTGTTGCCTAGTTTTATTTATTTTCATATTCATACTAGTTTCTTGAAATACATGATACAATAGAATGTTGAATTAATGTTTGTTGATGAAATAAAAATCTACGCTCGTTAAATTAAAGCAATAATGAATATGATAAAATTTATAAACATATAGTTAATATTCTTATTATAATAAATTAATACGTAAGTTTACACGGATAAATATTATACTGTATTTACAACGATCCAATCAAGTCGCACAAATTGAGATTCACCCATTTGAAACAAATTTTCTCGCATAGAATCTATGCATATCATTATAACATTCATTCTTTTTCCAATCCTCATCAGCACTATCCAACATTTCATTGTATTCTTTCTGAGTCATCGTCGTGCTTTGTATTACCGCTCCGTCATCACTCGTAATTTCTACTAAGCTCGCATCTTCTTTCTCTTTTCCTTTGAAACTACTCAGCTGCGGCATCGAACAATTATTAATTGTCTCTAGGATCATAGGACCAACAGTACGACGATAAAATTGTATGAAATTCTCCCGGGTAATCACGCCAACTCGACTGGAACCATGATCATAATGCACCAGCGTTTGTATTTTATGATGAAAATCAGCAAGTTGTCCGGCACAATAAGATTTCAACATTTCACCGAGACATGGCGCAATTTCCAAGTTTACTCCTATCAATCGACCAAATTTTAAGTCTATCACAAAATGAGGTAAATGGTAAGTATTCATTACGAAAAAATCATTTTCTCAAAATAATATCAGTACTCACATGCTTCATAAAGCTTTGAAAATTTTGTTGGTAAATTAACGATCTTTGGATCTACTTCACACAATTCAATCCATCCACCAACCTTAGTGACACGAACCAATTCGGGTATTACCTTATTTTGCCACTGTTCCTCGGTAAAATTAAATGCGGCATTTTGGAGGTGAACAAAGTCGAACGTGTTAGCTTGAAATGGTAATCCACTGCTTTTACGTTCTTTCTTTCCAAGTGAAGGGCGTCTCAAATTGAATTCAACATCAAAAGGCTTATTATCATCACTAGAGTTGTGGTCATTCGTTTCAAAGAGAATATTCGATTGTACGAAAGTTGTATTGAAGGGTTTTATCTCTAATGGATATGTAGGAACCATATCGACACCGAAGAATTGAGATCTTTGGTAGGTCGTGGCCATGTCTAGTATCCACGTTCCTGGACCACAACTTATAATAAAAACGATATTTCCTTATTAGACAACTTTGTTAGGTAAAAAAAAAATTTATTTATTTATTTATTTACCCTACATCTAGGACTTTACATCCGCTCTCGAGCATTTCTTCAACCGGAGCTGAAAAATTTCCTTGCCAAATATAACGAAACAAGAAGTGTTGTAGTTGTAACCGATCAATTTCTTCATCGTCTAAAGGTAAACAGTATTTTGAATTCGGAACGTTATAATATTTTCGACCATTTCTATACTGGAACTGAATATTTTCTTGCGAACGATGAGACAGAGATTGAGAGAATGAATTTTTTGATGGTTCTTCCGACTGACGCGAAATTTGCATAGAAAAAGTAGAATGAGAAGAGGACGGGAAAGGAGGATGCGTAGGGAAAGTTATTGTTCTGCATGAAGATGCCGAGTGACGACGTCTTGAAATGTTCGGTAAAGAGAGTAATTCTTTTTTGGATAAAGTTGAATGTCCGCTTGTAAACTCAAAACGTTGCGAATTTTCTTTTTCTGGGGAAGAGATAGAAGAGACAGTATTTCCCATCTTTTTCTTGGATGTTAAAAAAATATTTCTTTTAGCAATCAACTTAACGAATATAACGCGAGCAAAAATCGTGATTTGTAATAACAAAAAAATGAAAGGCAAAAGTGGGCATTATTTTTATGGTTTACGTTTTGAAAATTCTTGTCAAAGAGAATATTTTTTATAACAATTTTGTTATAACTCTTCAATTGCCACTATTAATACAGGCCAATTTACTCGGCATCATTATTGCAATGCAAGCCTTTTTTCTTTTTTCTCCCAAATGTTTGGTCAAAATATGGATACATTAATTTGGTACACTGCGTCTAAAATAGCTATTAAACTTCTGTTGGGGTGGGAATCGCACATCATTTGAATTCCCAAATGTCCGTATATGTAATAACCGCTAAGGTGATATTGGAGAACCAATAATCTTTCTTTTCATCTAAACGTTAGTGCCTAGTACGTAATCAAAAATGTATACTATAATAGGTTAGCCTTTTTATAACTTAATGCATTGTTTAATGCAAAATTATAAATCACGGATTTTCAAATGCGTATTTTTTTTTTTTTGTTTTTTTTTTTTAAGAAACAAATGGAACTCCTGCTTACATATTCCTAATAAGGGTTCTCACGGGGCACCCAGTCAATTGAATTTATGTATAGCGAAAGCGTTCGTTTATTTGAATTGACGTTATTTGTTTGGATTAATACTGTAACCGGATAAAGGTGATGATGATCTGAGAAATTACTGTATTTATGCAAATTAATTACCTCGAAGAAAATAAAGTTTTGAATGTGTACTAAATCACTTATGCTGGTAACTTTTATTTGTACTTTTGATTTACCGAAATGTTGCATTACACTTTAAACGTTACAAAAATCGAATTTTTGCGCCTTTGCATCTGTTTTTCAGGGTTTGCTAAACAAATAAGCACGAACATGATTCAGAATGGTGTCGGGGCTCATGACTAGATGCAAGTACCGATTAAAAAGAAAAAAATTTTTTTTCATCGACGGTTATAGTTGAAAAAATATGATCGCAACACAAAGTCATTGATTAATAGACCGTACATAATTGGGTACTTTAAATCGACCTTGTCTATTACGTACAGTATATACAGTATATTGCTATAGAATATTACAAAAATTGTTCCTATTATAAAGTTAATAAAAAAAAATTATTTCCGTGTAATGTTCATGAGTTTCTTGGCATTTTCAGCTCACACAGAATGTGCAAATTTTTGATTCGTATAATTACAACATACAAAACAAATACTCTGTCCTTTCAATAAGGTTGAACGTCAATCAACTTTAAACAAATAATAAGCATTTTTGTTTTCTAATTTTAATTGTCTCGTCGTAATTGTTATTGCGTTGATATACCATATATTTAATTGAAATAACATAGAATATTGCTTAGTATTATTCCTTTGAGAGATACATTATAAAACGTTTCTCATTCTACTATGAACCAATTTTTAATCATCACACTTAAAATAAAATAAATTTAATTTAATATTTGACACATTATTATTATTTTTTTTTCTTCTTTTTTTAAAAAAAATTGTAGAACATTAGATTCGAAATATTTATTAGTATATTTATAATATCACATTACAGTATATCAATATCTTTACAAGTTTAATACTATAAATTAATATTAACCTATTTACTGTATAATGCTAATTACAATTATTTTTAATGTACTTTAATGTATGTGAAATTAGTTATAATATTGAATGATTAGTGTTCTTACAAAACTAATATGTTATCTTGTAAATTTTTAAGATGTTAAAAAGTCAAATGCAGATTAAGTGTATTGGCAACTAAGTCAAGAAAAAAAAAGAAATTTGTCTTATATTGAAAGTTATTTTAATATTCAATAGCTTTGATTTGTAAGCTACAGTATTATTTGATTATTTAATTTAAAATAAACTGTATATTAATCTTAGCTAAACATAAAACCTATTTATTATCATAATATTATTTTTTAATATATCATACCTTCTATTAAATTATAAATTGGATTTAATTTTTTTTTTAAATTCAGAATAAAATTATCTGTTTTACTAAAATAAAATAATAACAAATCAAAAAAATTGATAAAATAATATAAAGAAAAAACTTTGAAAAAACTTTTTTAAGAAAAAAAAAACTGTTTAGTAATAAAAAAAAATATAAAAAATAAAAATATAAATAAAAATAAAATAATTGGTTTCAGTTTTTAATTATCAAATATATACCAAATAATTTTATTTTATATTTATTAAGCAATTTAATATATTTAATATGTTTATCAGTTTGATTTGATTTGTTTTAAACAATTAATATAATTTATTTTTATTATATTTTATATACAATATATCTCAATAACATTTTTCCTTTACAATTTTAAGTTTTAATTTTATATAATTTTAAATCTAATTATCTTATAAAAGTTTAAATATATTAAAATAGTTTAAACAATAAGCTTGTAATTTAACAAAAGAAAACTATAGAAAATGACATAGTATTAATTCAAAAATAATTATTTTATTAACTTAAAAACAAAATATAAATTTGAGTTTTTATAAAAATACATAAATAAAAATATATATTATTAATATATAAGTCCTTATTAATTCTTTTAAAAGGCTTATATTAAAATATTTTTTTAATTATTATTTGCAATTTTTATAAATTTTTTTTTAATATTTATATTATAAGTATCAAACTGAAATTAATATTATTTATAGCTTTTGTAAATTATTTTTTTTTATATAAATTATTAAAAATATTAAATAAATTAAAT